CACTTATTTATTTATTTTGGTGACGATACGACCTCCATGCTGCTACTCTGGTTCAAACTGCATCCACCAAACAATATGATTTATCTCGACCTCCCCAAAATAACCTAAATCTGACACGGTGTGAGATGTCTTTTTTAGCTGTTCTGTCGTCATTTCCTGCTATCTTCTCTATGCAGTCAGTCAAAATGAATGAATGAAAGGGCGTTACTTTGACTATTTATAGGCAAATATGGGCGTTACAGTACATGAAGCCCGCCAAAGCTGCACCGCATTTCGAGTCGGTTGTGATTTATATAGGGAAACAGGCGTAGGAAGTGCCATACGCACTTTCCTCGCCGGTACGCAATGTTTGGTGAATCGGAAAGTGGCGGAAAATGTATGGACCTATTTTTCGGATTTCTACTACGTAAGCAACCTTCCCACGTCAATCCTACGCACAGCGTTATACATGAGGCCCCTGAACTGTGCTTTAAGATGTTAATTATTCATTTCACTTACGGTACTTGAAGGCTGAAACATGCATATTCTGGTGGATAATATCGGGTACATAAAGTGTATTGACCACAGATCCACTGATAGAATGGGACAGATATGTTCGCAAATAGTAATAATGTTTCAACAAGTTACATTTTCTTGGAAGTGTTAGTAATGTACAAGTCTCTGTTATTCATCACAAAGCAAGAGTTTATTCATATATTCCAAAAATCTTTCAACATTAGCAGTTATTCATCACCTTTAAGATCCCTTGATATTAATATGTGGTTTCATTACACCAAGCGTTGTTCATCATAAATAAAATGTTGGATGTATTTCACCTAAAATCATATTTTGGCTGCCTCCTAATAAGTTCATGCACTGATGTCATTTTGCTCCACCTGCGTCTTGTTATACTGAGGCGTTCCTCACGCCTCCCTATCACATCAAGTAACACAACAGATTATTAAAATCAACAAATCATAAACTTTAATGAAAACATCATCCTGGAGCCATGGCAGCTGACGCTTCTAATGATGCAAAGAACGTGCCAACATGAGGTTATTGGACATGAAACGGCGTCTGCAGACAGACATACTGTAGCTTAGATAGCAAACCAGTCATTAGGCTAATAAAGCCTGCTGGATAACCCCAGGCATTGGATGACGGAGCAGCAGTCATTTACAACCCTCTAAGATCAAAGTTAAGAAAGCTGTGTTTGGTGTGCGTGTGTGTGTTGGGCACATTGAGCTGACTGCCATGCCCAAATGTATAGTCAGCCTAGTAATCAAGGGTTCCCAGGAACTACACAGTCAACACAGCTGCCAGCAGGGCAGGGAGGGGATCAGTGAATGGTTACTGGCACAATTGTTTCGCAAGCTAAGAAAAAATAGGATCAATCACAGAAATCTTTCCGGTTACATTCCCTACAGCCACCTTCTTTTGTTATTTAAATCAGTCAATCAGTGTTTTTGTGCAGTCCATTGTTAGACTATGACTTTGAATCCATCTTAGAATGGTTTGGGTATGGACTTATTATGTATCTAGAGAACGGAAGGACACCATAGTTTAACTTTTACTCATGAGGAGCCTTTTACCTTGTATCTCACTGACTATTACTTTGAATCCATCTTAGAATTGTTTGGGTACTGACCTATTATGTACTGTATCTAGTAGACATTTCTTTGTGGTGATTCAAGTTATATAAAGAGGACTGAAAACCACTATTGTTTAAAGGGGACCCATCATGCAAAATGCACTTTTTGATGTCTTTTCTACATAAATATGTGTCCCAAGTGTGTCAGGGAACTCACGCAGCGTCAGAAAATAAAAACCCTCTCTCTTTTCCTCCGTACCCAAATGTCTAAAAACGGGGGAACAATGGCGCTGATCCAGATTTGCGTCCGATATGACGTCATATCTGAAATGTGGACCCACGGCCCTATCAGAAACGTTGCTATCAGAAACAATGCACGACTGTTTTGGACCTAATATGGTCTCTGTTTACATTAGCAAGCATCGCTAACACTCAGAGCTAACATGTACTGGAGAGAGTATGTGTAAAAAAAGCAGGAAATACAAAAGGAACTCACCTTCTGGTAAACCGGCAAGAGAAAAAGCGTTTGAGCTCCATACTGTTTCAGAAATAATGCTTGATGTGGTTTGGAACATGATATGGCGTTTCCTCACGGCAGTATCTACCACTAGAATCATAACCTCCGCCCCCTCTTTTTTTCACTTAAAAACCAAAATAAGCTTTATACCCAGAATCAGCACTTATGTAACAGGAAGTGAAATAGAGGGATATGAGGCATAGCTAGAATGGGTGATCTGTTTGGTATTTTGAGCAAAACACTTCATAGACATGATTTTTAAATATTTTTTATATCTGAGACCTATGCTAATGCCTAAAAATAGCATGATAGGTGACCTTTAATAGATAAACCAGCTCACTGAATGAGTTACTGTTACTCCTCAGGAGCCTTTGACCTTGCATCTCACTGACTATTACTTTGAATCCATGGTTTGGATATGGACTTATTATGTATCCAGGAGATGTTTGTGGTGATTCAAGTTACTTCGATATTTGGGAAAGTTTAGAGTATAGGATTTTTCCTGAGCAAAGGTTATATATTCTTGAATGTAGAAGGAGAACTGGATGCATCTTTGGAGGAGGGGCAATGTTCATTCATATAATTGTCCATGAATCCAAGTGGCCTCATTCATAAAAAAAACTCAGAGCATCCGGGTATCTGGGCCCATAAAGCATTTTGAAACTTTTAGACCCTAATGATTTAAATAATGGCTATAAAAGTGTTCATAATGGGTCGTTTATTTAGCTAAAAACAAAGTTATACGCTGATATAGAAACGTCTCTTTCTCAATGTAAGTCAATTGGAGTCTTTTTGGGCCAAAATGGGAAGTTAATTTAGATTTGTGTTTTATATTCGCCCGTTTAAACACAGCTTTTACCAAAAGTTGCTGGATCCATTGACGTGACTGACTTGGAAGTTGTAGTACCACTGTTTGGCCACTAGGGACATTTGCTTCAAAGGCCAGCGCACTTAATTGCAACATTTTGTCAGGTGCTAAACTGTTTATTTTACCAAGTCGGAAAAAATAAAAGCAAGCCAAAGCAGATGAGCACTGTTATATAACCGTTACAGTTATAGCCCAGACAATAACGGATTTTCGTTTACATAATAATTCATCCTTTTCTATCGATTTTTCTATTTGCTGTTGTAATTTATTGTCTTCTGTTTGCGATTGTAGTAATGTGTTATTTATTATTTGCATGTACAGCACTTTGGCTCGACCAAAACTCGTTTTTAAAATGTGCTATAGAAATAAAACCTGATTTGATCCATGGCATATATCTTTGGCATTTTTGTTCTGCAAATGCTTTTTACATATCAGCTAATATAAGTACTGATACTGATATAATGGTTATAAAATAACATTGGAAACATTGCACACTGTCAGAACACCAACTTAGTTTAAAGTAGTTGTAACCCACAGAGACACAGTTTAATGTTTAGCAGTTCTGACTCAAAATGTCTTATCTTGCAATGTTAGTAAAAAATAAAATCTCGTAATTTTCTTCTTAAACCTTCCTTGGACAATGCCAAACTCTTCCACTTAAGTTTCATAAAATTCAAAAAAAGTAATGGCTAGAACCAATGATGATTATACTGTAGGATTAGACCAGCTCACCGAGTTTTGGTTACTCATGAAGAGGCAATTAACACCTAATAGAGTAAAGTTAATCATTCTATTTACAGAGATATTTATCCTAAACTCTTTTACCAACTACCTCACATGACTTCATGCAACCGCCACAATGTTATTCACTGCAATTTTAATGTACTTAATTATGACCACAGTTTTCTTTGGAAAATAATGACACTCAAAGGCGAGAACACATGCAGAGGAAAAGTTGATTTAAATTGAGTCAAAACACAGCCAAAAACTGCTAAGCACCACACCAACAAAAATTGTATAATTAACTATTATTATTTGCAGATTTATGACCTGGCTTAAACAGAAAGCCCTAGACTTAGGTCACAGTGTACTTCATTCAAGGCTTGGAAAGGTTTTGAAAGGCCGGGCCGCTGAAGCCTCCAGTACAACAGAATCAACACCAGACGCTGTCAACCATACAAAGCAGCCACAGCTGCTCCTACCTAGCTGATTTCCTAATTCCCCCATGATTATACACACAAACACACAATAATAAATACAGGAACGCACACATCACACAGTCAATCTTTTACACATGTGCATGACAACGTGCACATACAGTGCAGTAGTAATTTGACCTTAAAGTAAAAACAAATCAAATCAAATTTCCGCTCAGGTACCAGGTAGCGAATTTGAGGCAGGGATTAAGTCCAATTTCCAGTCAATACAATTGTTACGTGATGTTTATTCTTTTTCCAATGATTAAATGATTGTAAACAACAACAGCTTAACCTCTTTTCTTTCCATGTGGCTTCCAAAGGCAGAGAAAGCGGAGGAAATTGGCACACGCTAGATGTACTGTGCTGACCACAGACCTCTGGACCTCAGTTAGAACCATCACTACCTCTGTGGAACAGCAAATGCACTCGTTCGCTTTACGTGTGGTGAAGACTGAGAAAAGGCATTTCGCCTAAACAAAAGAATGACATTAAATAATGATTTAATATGAGCACAAAACGACGGATAACTCCAACCAACTGGACCGCAACATATTCAAATAAACTGAATGCATCTATTCTATGACACACACACACACACACACACACACACACACACACACACACACACACACACACACACACACACACACACACACACACACACACACACAAGGCAGCCAATGTGCAGGAATGAGGAGGGAAGACAGACTGGCGTCCAACTTGAACCTGTGGAGCCTCTGAACAGAGAGAGTTGTTGGCTGACTGAGACACGGTCCTGAAAGCCTTTCAGCAGGTCAGGTCAGAGCCGGCCAGACAGACTGATTGAGTGAGTGAGTGAAAAATGTAGCCTGTGTGTGTGTGTGTGTGCGTGTGCGTGTGCGCGTGTGCGTGTGCGTGTGCGTGATTACTTGTGCATGCAAGGCTGCACAGTTCAGATCTATGCTTCAACGTGAAGTCAGTGTTGGAAGAGGTAAAGACACACTCAGCTGTTGATACTTTTTGGTTTTCTTGGTGGGGATCATTTGTGAACACTCATACACGGCTATAACCACAAATCCTCCAGGAAGCATGTTTTGACAGTAAAATGACCCTTAATCCACACATCTGAATAGTCAGAATTGCATGAAACACATTATTATTCAAATGCAGTTGAGAGATTGAGGTTTTCCTGATACAAGCTACCCCTTCCTGGAGTATGAGTCCAAACGTAAGGGTCTTTGAGGGCGCTGTGAGATGTGAGCCGTAGGTAAACACCTTCAGCTCGCTCGCTGACCCAGTTGTAGCGAGGTGAAGAACAAGCATCCTCACCTTTTACCGGGGGTGTGTCTGGACTCGCCAGACAGAGGCACTGGGGGAAAGAAGAGGGCCAGGAACGGCTGCTTAACTGCTTCGGTTTTTAACTCTCTTACATGTTTTCCTTATTAGGCTGCATGTGAATAAGGAACACTGATGAAAGGAAAGGAATGATTTTATGTTGGCTTTGTGATAGGGACTCTATTGAAGCAGCAACACCAAAATGAGGATCTGAAAAAATATAAAAATACTATATATTGTGTTGAGATTGCAATTGTAAGAAATGAGAGGCCGTGATTTAGCCTATTTTGAATGAGCACCATTTAATGGCTGTTAATAGTAGAGATCACGACCAAACACCTTGTAAACGATACAAATGATCATGTTTGGGTTGAAGTAAGTATGTGTTTACTTAAAGGGGACCTATCATGCTATATTTAAATGATATATTGTAGGGCCATACCTATATAAGGTATATTTATACATTTCTGTTTTCAAAATACCAAACAGATCATGCATTTTAGCCATGCCTCATTTCGCTCTATTTGCTGTTCTCCAGCCCTGTTTTTGCAGGGGGCTGATTCTGTGAGCTGCAGCTGACCACGCCCCCCTGCAGGAGAGGGGAGCGTGCTCTGATCAAGTCGGAAGAGGGCGAGAAAAATAGATCTCCGTCCTCCGTGTTTTATTATATTATTATATAGAGTCGTTATTCATTTGTTTTAAAGCTCAATAAATAACAAATGCGGCTTTCACACCAGCGCTTTTCCCTTTCTAGCTCCGAGCTAGAGCTTTTCTGGTTCAGCTCCGGTTTCCCTTTTCTGCTCCCGCTCTGTTCACACCACCCAGAGTCCCGACTTGTGCAGCCGCTGCTGCGTCATGACGTCACCGTTTACATCGCTGATTTGCTCCCCAACGGCGCTCACAACAACGACAACGAGGGACTGCGTCGGGTCGATGATCGTGTTGCTTTTAATCACACGAAGTCAGATTAAATAAATTAACGACTTCTCCAAGCTTATGCTTTTCTCCAGAGTGCCGTGGTTCGTTTATTAATGTGTTTCAGCGGCATTTACCGACCACTGCAGTGCTGGCTGCTCTTCCACGGGAGTTTATTCTCCCGTTAGCTCCGGGTTAGCTAATACTTTAGAGCGGCCTCTCTAAAGTACTCACTGTCTGACTGTCACACAAGCAGCTGATACATATCCCCAGTTCCCCTTAAGTGAATGTGTGTCAGTCTGAATTGATGCTGTTTGGCATCACAACGCTGTTATTAAAGTATCTCTGGTATAAAAGGGGTGATGTTAGCATAGCAACCGAAGTTAAACTGACTACTTGCTATTGCTATCCTATTGTGGCATAAGCCGTTTTCTACAGGCACATTTTACCGGCGTATTTTTTATTATGATTCTACTTGTGATAGTCGGACACGACAACCTGTGCAGCCCATGTATTGATTCCATCCGATAGCTGCTATAATACAAAACAAAACGTCTGCCTGCTCCCCACAATGATCAATAACAGTGAACGGATGGTCAAAGTAAGGTGCAAATAAACAGAATCACACGAAGCCTGGTTAGTGTTGCCTGACTTTATAAAGTGTGTTTCTTTTTATAAATGTGTGGTTGCCTTCTAGTCACTTTGCTCAGCACTACTGCTTGTAGCCAGGCATGACGAGACTCTTCAGTCGACCCATGTTCAGGGGAGGTGGGTTTAGTTTCCTGCACGCCTCGAAGTAAGCGACGCCGCCTCTTAGCTCCGGAGCTCTTGCCTCTAGACCGACAATTTTTTGGAGCTGGAAGTGAACCGGATTCCGGAGCTAAGAGGCGGCACCGCTGCGGTGTGAACAGGAAAAACCGGTACTTTTTCAGGCTCCGAGCCGGAGCTGAAAACACTGGGGACACATATTCATGTATAAAAGACGTACAAAAGTGCATTCTGCATTATAGGTCCCCTTTAACTGAAATCATGTACGGAAGTTAACTACGATATCTAATGTATATAACTCCTAATAAGTCAATGTTGATTTCTAGTTACATAGTTTTAAACCAGACACAAAGAGTTGTCTTCAGGGTAGAACCTGTGTCTGTTTGACTATCCATCATCCTTGACATATGCAGACTTTGTTCCTCTTTCAAAGGACATCACCTGACTTCCTCATTTGCTTCTATCATAAGAACTACAACCAGTAAGAGTCCCTACCTAGCTTTGAATCTCCCTGCAGAGATCCAGCTTACCAATAGGGAATAACGGCCTACCGAGCCAACTACGATGTAAACTAGAGCCATACCATCAGATCTATGCAATTGATTGGCGGCTGGTAACGGCCATTTAAAAGGCTGATAATAATCAAAGTGGATGCCCTGGGTTACACCTCTTTGGGGAATTAAGATTAATTATATTGACATCACATAAATTGCAAGGCTAGCAGAAAAACAGCATCAATAAGGAACAATGTCATGCCTGCCAAAAATGCCGAAAAAAGTTTTGTATGTGTTCGAAAAGGTGGAAAACCCACCCTTATTTAAACATAACACAGAACAATTGTCAATGACGGCCGGTTTGATTCACCCAGGGGTTTAAACATCCACAAACAATGAACAATTTAAATATCCTATGTCCAGATGCAGCTCCTGTGTATTGATATTCTGATTTTTGTGTTCGTAGATAGATTTACAACATTTAGTGCCTCCTATTTTCATTGTGTTACTTGTTATCGGTTGGCTGTATGTGGTCATGTTTTATAGAATCTTGCAGTGTTGTTAACTTGTAGAGTAATATTTTCCGACCAACGTAACAATGTAAGAACGGAGCATAGACAAAGCCAGTGTCAATCATGACTGTTGCAGACGTGGGTTATGCATAAACGTACTTTTAAAAGAGGAACAGATAAGAGTAAGATGTGCACGAAGAGACCGGACAGTGACATGTGTCTTACCTGTAGGATGACAAAGGACCATGCTCTGCATCTATTCATGCATTCAGACTCAAACTCCTCACAGAAACAAGTTAACCTGTTGAGACACAAAGACAATATTTATTGGTTTTTTCAGGGTACATTAGACTGAGACTTTCTACTATTGAAAAAAGGTATTTGACTGGAGTTCAAATCAGCTGCCTAGAAGCAATTATTATAAAGCAAGACTTCTACAATGGGTACATTTGTTTTTTAAAAATACGAAAATAATATTAAGAATGGTCCATGAAAATGGCAACAAGCAATGAAAATGTTCCAGCTACAGACACTAAACAAGCGATTGAAGAAAAAAATGGTCTTAATTGGTAGAGAAAGGATTAGAAGACTGAGAATGTGTTCATAAGCAGCTCAAGGGACCTCCTGGTGACCTCATAGCGATGTGGCGACAATGCACCAATAAAAAGGACACAAACATAAATACACACATTTGTACAAAACCTGCAATTATTTTTCCTCTACCCATCTCTTTAAAAATACACTGACCCTCCAGCTATAAGGCCACACCACTGCCGGTTCCCCTCGGTCCGTCTGGCGTCTATAAGGTCTGAGGAGGTCACTCAGAGGTGAAGATTACACAGTGACAGAACAAAACGTGTTGCAGCAGAGGGCTAAACGTGATGATTTGACAGGCTTGAAGAAAAAGGAGATGTTTGATAAGGGCTGAAAGAGCTAGACTTGTCCTCCTGCCAGCGACGCCAGGCCAGGAAGGTACATGTAGCCTAATAACAAGGTTATGATATGTCCTTGAGTATTTTAAACGGCTCTACAGAACAGAAGGCCATTCAAAGCCAACATATGGTCCACATCACCAATTACCAAGGTGTGCGTCGATAGGGAGAAGATGAAGAGAGTGGTAGCCACAGAGGGAGTTTAAATGTGGACAGATGAGGAGGGACTTCTGGCCAATTTAGGGTGATGACCTCAGGTCAGAGGGACCTGGTTCACTTTACATAATGGCTCAAAGTTCTTTACCAGCCTCCTTGTCCTTGAAACAGTGGAAGTGTGGACAAACACATTATTCAAATTATATTTTTTGTATATTTACACATGCTTTTGAGAGCCTGGGGAGGAAAATTAACTGCTCAAATCCTCAAATGGTTGCTCTGAAAAAGTAGTATGTAAAATAAACAAAAATGACTTTTTTTTATGTCCCATGTTTCTGACTTTCGGTCTCATGCATAAATAAATCAGATTTTTTAACACTTCTGCATTTACAGCAATGTAAAAGAAAACTATTCAAGAGCAAACAGTAAAGATTACTTTTAAAATAACCCTTGCCTTATCCATTGTTTGGCAAACATCCCTGTGTGTGTTTCTTAACCCTCCTATTGTCTTAGTTTCCCCCCCCTTACTTTGGTGTTCGCGGTCAAATTTGACCGGTCCCGTTTTAACTGCTATTACATTAAAGGTGGGGTAGGTAATTTTGGAGAAACCAGCTCGAGTGCGCTAGAATTTGAAAAATACAGCCGGAACAAATCTGCAACTTCCTTAGCCCCTCCTCCAACACACATGAACGCGCACATGAGCAATGAGGGCACGAGATAAGTTTGTGCACAGCTGGAAGGCTGACAGGCAGGTAGGCCATCCAGTTATTTTAGCCGGGCCGCCTCAAATGATTGGTCGTGCTTTTTACAGTACCACGGCTTCCACAGATGACTTTTTTTAATGGATTTTTTGTCAAAGCACTTCAGATATTCATTGCTATCAGGATGTTAAGAGCATTCCATGGAATATAACAAAAAGTGTATCTCGAGCCGGTTTCTCATTCCATGGAATGCTCTTAACATCCTGATAGCAATGAATATCTGAAGTGCTTTGACAAAAAATCCATTNTGACAGTTCTTTCTGTATTCATTTAAATGCACTTTGTAATGTGTCTCGGTCAAATGTGACCAAAACGTATGATTGTTTTGTTATTACTTGAAAAGTGAAAAAATAGTATTGCTACGGTACTACCTCTTTGTGTTGCATTGGAGCTCTTTAGCTGTTTTTTTTTGTATGTCAGGAAATGTATTAAGACTGCTATTATTGTATTCAGTAAATAAACTTTGTGATGTGCCTGGTTCAAAAAAAATAACCTGAATATTTGACTTCTAAAGCAAACAAATGTAATGCTACAACTGTGCACTTTTTTTTCAGATTCTGTTAAATTAATGCTAATTTGTTGTGTTTTTATGCACTTTTTGACCTACCTTTGTTAGATGAACAATGAATAAAAATTGCATGTTTTTCATCGCAGTAATATGTGTTTGTTTAAAGTGTGTCACTACCCGCTTTTTACAGGCCGCTGAATGTCTGGCCCAGCTGAATTTTGTAGTTTTAAAATCTGGCCCAACTGAATGTGTAGTTGAATAGCCCTGCCCTACTGTAGCGTCACCTTGGATACGAGTCTAAACAGACACACAGGCCAGGGCGCTGAAAGGGCGCCCTTTGAGCATCAGATCTGACGACGCTGATTGGCTGAAATTATGTTTCGGCGGCATAGTTTACAGATAGCAACAGTCAGCTTGTTGGTTGCAGCTGCTCTGGCTGAGGGCTCTTTTCTACCGCCCGGACGAGAGAGGGTAATGATACACGCTGCGGCCAGGCAGGAAACATGTGACTTATCAGTAACTTTAGACATCGTAAAACAATTTTAAACAAGATTTTATTGTAGATTATACATTTTACTGATACCAACTATATAATATTTACCTTGTTCTTTAAAAATAAAAATAAAATAAAAATATATATATTTTTGGGAAATATATTTTTTTATGAATTTTTAATTTTTAATGACAATCAAACATGTGGGAAGAGGGGAGCGGGGCCCCTAGCGCCCCTATGGACCGGCCGCCACTGGTCCCGCCCCTGATTGTTCCCACCTGTGTCTTATTGTCATGTGTTTAAATTCCCCCGTCTTCCAGTGTTCAGTGTCAGTTCGTTTTTGTCTCTTGTCATGTACCTTGTTCTTTAAAAAAAAAAAAAAAAAAAAAAAAATTGGAAATATATTTATTTTTTAATTTTTAATTTTTAATGACAATCAAACATGTGGGAAGAGGGGGGGCGGTGCCCCTAGCGCCCTTATGGACCGGCCGCCACTGCTCTTTTCATAGCATATAAACATCATATGAACGTGACCAGCAGCTCTTTAGCCGCATAACTGTTTAGAAACAGAAGTGGGACAAAGACAGAGGGCTGGGTCTGTGGGTTGGGTTGAGGGAAAATATGTGAAGAAAGTTTAGAACGGAGGGTTCTGCACTAGCATTTATCCCATTCCCGGCATGTAACATCAAATAACATAGCACTACATTGATGCACTTGCACAAAGAGTGATTTTCTACCCAATTTGATAGTATAAACACTGGGGTCATAATAGCAATAGTAAGAGATGTATAGCATTACAAAAGGATTAAATGAGTTGATCATTGCAGGTAAACTATTAAATAAAGGCCCATGATGTATTTTTCAGTTGATTTAGTATCACAAAACATCATATTTCAATACAATTCTGTATCAATATTTTCTTCCTCTACCTATTGAGAATCAGAAACAGGTTTAATGCCATTGGGTTTAAACATAGTTTGCCTTGTTGTAAGAGAAATACAGATGTCAAATAATAGTATAAAACTGAAATATTTAAAACATTATAAATATCAAAACTGTTTACAAGAAAGCTGAATATGCAATAAGGGAATGTAATAATAACAAGACAATCGCTGTCTTCCGTATTCTGATTTTGAGGGATTTATTTGGTTTTTCTTTTGCTTTAAATATAATTTCACATTTAATCTTTTACCCTATATTATGTTATAAACTGTTTTTATAAAAGAATATAAATACAAGCCCTGTTAAAAACACCTGTGATGAATATCACTTTCTGTTGTTCTGCAGTTTTGTGGGAGAGTTATGGCAGCTGCTGTGGAACGTGCTCAATGTCTCTCACTGATCTGTTTGTACTTTTCTCTTATCAGAGTTCCCCGGAGGCTGCCAGGTGAGGTCAGCGCGTTGCTGTCGGACCAAAGGAAACACAAACACAGAAACATCTGAAGAATTTACAGTAAGTTTCTGGAACATCTTTCAAACCCACACCCCTATCTGATGCAGCACACTCACAATTACACATCTGTGATGCTGTATTCAATTTGACCCCAAAATGAGAGAACAGTTGAACAGCTTGAATTATCAAAATGTTTATGCATTTGTCAGTCTAAGTTCAAGCAAATGAAAGCCATGTACTTAACACTACCCTAAGAACACTGATCATTTTCAGTGTCAAAGAATGATTTGTCATCGCATGCTTTTGCCCTGCACTTTCCCCTTTTTGTGATGCTCTTTAAGTTACATCACTCAGGAAAGGCCACAAGGTGGCAGCCTTAGGTTTGCTTTCCCCCAACATCTGCCCAGTAGTCCATGCTGAACAGGAGCTTCCTGGACGTCCTGTGGTGATGTTATGCCTGATGTATATAGTAAGGGTGTTGACTTATAATTGGCTTCATTAAGTAACCGCAATCTTCAAATGTAAGTGAAAATCTGCATTTGACAGCATTTTCATGTAATTCATCAGATTTTTTAATGATATGATATTAAATGATGCCCATAAAAGCTTTCTAGATGACATAATGCAGGCATTAATGTTACATTTAAAATGTAACACTTTTAGTAATGAGTCCTTTTCACACTTTATCTACAATAAAGAAAGATAGCTAGGACGAGGAGGCTCCTATGTACCATAAGCAACTGTCATTACTAAAATGGTAATATTGGCTGTTAGGAGAACTCTGAAAAAGCACAAAAGTTTTTCTAAATGCTGTGCTACCAGATGAGATTTAGTGGTTTAAATATCACATTGAAAGAACTTGTTTGGTCTTTCAACATTGTGGAAGAGTTAAAACATATCTGTATTTATATCAGTGGCTTATTTAACATACTACTTCTATACCTTAGACAGGCCTACGGTAACACTTTGTGCTCAACTATCTTTTCGTAGGACACCTCGACGTGTTGACTGCATTTGACTGGGGATAAAACCACTGATCCTCTAATAATTGGTAGACGCCCCCTTTACCTTCTGAGCCACAGCCGCTTTGTTTCAGTGTGATATTGATCCCCATGCTGTTTTAGGAAAATGCTTCCATTATCTCTTCATTATGGATCTTTTACTGTGTATATAGGGCTTTTTCATAATGAACTTGAGCTGTTTCTCAGATGTATTTAAAAGGAAAGTGCAATGTAGAACAGAGCCAAGGTTAACCTACTGATACATTTGTTCCACTCCTAAATCTGCCATAGTGAACAAAATCATTTAGTTTGAAGTCTTTTTTTTCACTTTCCTTCCTCCCTGTCAACCCCCCTCACTGTCTCTGCCTGCTTGTTATATCTTTACTCAAACCCCCCCACGCCTTTCCGAAATGTCTCTGAATCCCTCCGCCCGGCCTCCCGGCCCTTATGAACAACTGGCTGGGCAGCTGGCTTTAACAGCTGCTTGCCATCTCATTTTTTGGCCTATCTCCATCTGGGCAGCTTTTTTTCATATCGCTTTTTTTTTGTATTCTAGCCTCACTGTTTCTAAATCAGTCTTTGCACTATCATTATGCCATTCCTTTCAAAATTATGCTGGGAACAATTCAAATAACTCCCAAACGTCGGCGTGTACAATGTTCGTGTTTTTCTATCTCTTTTATTATGTAACTTTGTTACAAATAATATATTTCTTTATGTACTTCAGGTATCCTGTTTCAGAACACATTATTTAAAATCGTCCTATACTATGTTTTGTTTTATCTCGGATATAAAAATGCAATTACATCAATCACTTATACAATCAATTTGCACATGAATTCTAAAACAGCAGCTTTATTTACCGTTACTTCATTTATGTTGAACATTTGGATTATGACCAACTTACACAACTAACTAAATAAAGTGGCGTTTTTGTTTTGCAGACCAACCGTTAGCAACTCAAGGGGTCCCACGTCAAAAAGCAATGGGATTTCTTTCCATTGGCTTCTTGAATATTGCAGGAAAATAAGATCTGTGGCAAACACATGTTTATGATTCTTACACATTATGTTCAACAGGATATTCCTCAAATTTTATAAATATTTGTACGATTTTTGAAACGTAAATGCAATAGCCAGAAGTATGTAGCTAACGTTAGGCTATAAACGAACGACAACGCGGTCGCATTGTCTTTGCATCGTCACCGCTGAGTTCATGTGATGACATTTAGTAGTCTTATTTGGTCACTTGTCAATATCTGTTGATGACACATAGAGGCTTGGACATTCACCAGAGGGGTATTTACTCATATATTTTATATAGTCAAACTAAATGTTATGCTAACCAAAAACACGTTAAAAAACCTATGAGACGAGGTAACCGGAAGTGGTGAAATGCTGACTCATTTTCTTGTTTTAGGACTCATTCCTGCACTGCTCTTTACTTAAAGTGCAATAAAAGTCCCTATCAATTATACAAGCTTTAAAATAAAACCCTTTTTCTATGCCATTGATGTTGGAAGCATTGAGGATGACTCCACTTGCCTTTGAAGCTAGTAGAATACAACCTCTTTGAAAAAAGTCAAAGCCGGTAATTATTAAAAAAATAGTTATTTTACAAATCAGCATCTGTTATCAGTGTTTCCTTGTTTCCCTTTGCTCTATTTACCGTCGTTGCCTTCTGCTGACGACACCAGTTCATCCTAAGAATGAATCCCATGTGTCATCTGCGCTCTAATGGCCTTGTCCAAATCCTCTTGGGTCCATCTGCCGATAATATGCTGCAATCTTTCCCCATTGTAACCGCTGGCGTTCAGTTAAGGGAAATATTCCGTGAGCAATGGCAGTAAAAGAAAGTGAGGTAATGCCCGGGCCGTCTGAGAAGTCCTTGGAGTTGGAAAAAGAGTTAATAATTGGTGGACCTGTCTGAAAAGCTTAACCTGCTTGCACCTGCTTTTGTATTCAATGCATCAGAGCCTCATAGATGTACAAATGGAAAAAGGTGTAACTCTATGATATAAAGACAGAGAGAGATACCGTTCAACACATTATGCACAATCTAAAATCTGATTGTCAGAGGTTAGCCCTGCTGTAACTTTAAATTGCCTCAAACTGAAAAACCTTCTAACCTGAGGGACCCTCTGTACCCCTGCTCATGTGCAGTTGTTGGTCTTGTAATTGATCCAGGCTTGCTTTCTCTCCTCGGGGTGGCAAAGGGGTTAATCGGGCCGGGAGTTGGTAGCCACCGGAGGCATGACTGCACACTTGCTGTCTATAATTCAAACTTGTTCTTTGATGTCGAGCTGCAGGATGGAGACACTAGTGGATCTTGTGCACCCCGTGGCACCAGCATGCTTAATCTCTGTCTGTCTTTGTCGAGACATCAAACTGCTACACACTATGGATTTGTGACTTTCGGTGCTGACAGGCCCGGCTGACCCGATCCAATACTGGAGATTCCTGAGAGATAGAGATGTTCTCCCAGCTCTGAGGGGACAAAGACTTTCACTATCTGGCCTGGCCTGTCGGGGACATGGATTTAGATCAGACTGAGATAAATATTTAGCTTTCAGTGGGGATGAAATCCAACCTGGGAATCGAATTTCAAAGTTTTTGTCTTTTCATGGGAGAAAAGTCTGGGAAGTTTTTCAGAATATCTTTGATGTATGTTATCAACCCCTTTGGTGTCAAAGTCCATATTTAAACCTGCAAAAACCATCATTTTTTTTTTTTTCATTCAATATAGAAAACTACTGAGCAAACAGTTGTTTATTTAAATATCTGATTCTGTCTAGGTTGGGATTTGAAGTCAAATATCCTCTCTCTTTTAGCTCTGTTTTTGGTCTCTACCATCGCCTAAGGCTATACAGTACGTGGCTCTTTAGATGCTAAATGCTACACTCTGCTTTCCAGCTAGTCTCTCTGACTGTCGGTGGTCTGGTGTTTTATTTAGCTGCTGTTCATTTTCTCTACAAACTGCTGCCTGTGCGGTTTACAAAACAATCTCGCCATAATGTCTGTTTAGTAGCTGTTCTGGAGGTTTGGATTGGATCTGGAATCCTTTTAGTCTCAACCTCATGAAAGATTCAATTAAAGAATGACTTTGTACCAAGAATCTTTATTTATTTCTCTTTTATAACGCCAAACAAACTCAACTTTATTTCGTCCATCTTTTATTAATGCAGAACTCAGATTAAGTCGCTGACTTTGGACTGCATTCAAATAAAGTCTTGGATGCCAAATTAACATAAAAATCCATCCTGTAAAATATCAATAAACTGGAATTTCATTTCATATATAAATAACAATAAGATGTCAATACTCAAAATGTTATGGTTTTGCAATTTAAATCCAGGACAGCTGTGTTGAATTAAATCTTCCACTTTTTAAGTGAAGGATAAACAAGCTGATGGAGAGGCCAGAAACCATAAATAAAAAGTGTAGGAAAAACAAGTAGTGCTGTAAGGCGCATCTTATAAATAGCATTACCTTGTGTGCCCTTTTATGTTATTGCTCTGCACACTCATCAAATAGATACAAAAATATAGCGTGTAAGTTTAGATTGATTTGGAAGAATTGGGGTCCAAATTCTCATGTCCCCAACCTTCACTCTCGTAAACAATTTAGTCATAAACAAACATTTTGACTAAATAGAAAAACTAATCACATTGCCATCAGCCTCATCTGTACTTTGTGTTAAGTGCTAATTTGCTAACGTTAGCAAGTGAACGGCAAACATGGTAAACGTGATATGCTGTTCCAAATCACATACTGCAGATGTCCTAAAAAGTATTTGTGTACTTATACTGAGTATACAAGCATAGTAGTAACAAAGTAACTGCGACAGGAAGAAGGCAAACAATTAAAACATACTTTTGCCAACATTGAGCTCAAGCTAACCCTAACCCTAAATGGATGCAGTAGGACATCCTGTTGTTTTTGGCATACTGCATTTGACATACTATATATTGGAGAAAAAAATTCTGGTACACTACATACTGTGCAAGGTATTGGGACCCACCTCCTATCTCAGACAATGCAATGGGTATGCTTCTGCCGATCCT